TTTCCCCTGCACAGCATCCTCAACCTCACTTTGCCATTTCTGTTCCAGTTCTGCAACACTCTAATAGGTAAATTAAAACACTATGTACACAGACGCGAAATAAAAACAAGTACAATCTGTAAATTTGGAAATTTTAGTCATAATAGTAATTTTTAGAAATTTAGATCACATTTGAAACTTCTTATACTTCTAGGAAAGAAATGATTTCTAACAGTTATAAGACAAACATAAATGTCTTAGCTTTCATTTACCTGTAGCTGTCTTTCCATGGCATTGAGTTTCTTAAAGGTCTCTCCCATAATTTTACACAATAAATCATATTCCTCAGCATGTTCTTCCTGATATTGGAAATTTATTAGGGACTGCAGTGCATCAACCAAGTTCAAGTGCTTAATAACACATGACACCACCATTTCCTCCATCACGTCTGGCTGAATCACTTCTCTGTGATCACAATAGAAACTAGTCAGGTATATGCCAGATTCTCAGCTTCCTAATACTGTATTTTATAGGTTGAAAGATGTTAGCTCTGATTTAAGTATATATTAAATATTCACCATATCTCCTATTACAATAGAATAAGAGGCGTGGATATTATAATGGCATTGTGGGAGTCTTAAATTGACAACTAATTTAGCATATTAACTGATAAAACTTACATTGGATGACAAAGCTGAAAATCAAAATTAAAGAGACTTCATTCTCTATGATTGGTATATTTTGAGGTAGAATCATATTAGAGGTGGAATAGGGCTAAGCCTTAAAAAAGATCTTCAGCACCATTTGCCCGCTAATTATGCAGTATTATGGCTTGCCGTATTCAGTGCATGTGGATGTTGGGCTGAAAACAATGGTGTTTTCTGCTGTATTTTGTTTAACTTTAAATTTCATCTATCCTCTAAAATTTTCTCTCCGAAATGGCCAATTTTGCCTCAGGAGGCAGAGGCAGTCTGCAAAACATTCTGGAGGCAACAATATCACAAAGACATTTGTAGCTACAGAACTTCACATTCTAGATTAAAGACCCCCTCACCATCTCTTTAGGGATCAAAAATAAAGACACATCTCTAGACTCTTTGGAAACTAAAGTAGAGGCTGACTACTGGTAGAACGTAAAACTACCTGAGAAAAACCTAGAACCTGTCAAACTTTAGCATACAACAGAATTACACAGGAAACTTGTTAAAACACAGATAATTGGGCCCCATTCTCAAAGTTTCTGGTTCAGTAGGTGTGAAATGGGGTTCAAGAACTAACAAGTTCCCAGGTGGTACAAATGCTGCTGATTTTGAGAACCACTAATCTGGAATACCATCTGTTGGGCTCTCAAGAACACTCAGTTGACATTCATTCAGTAAACATAAAATTAAAGGTTCTTTTACTAGATCACAAGAAGAAAAACACCCCCTTCAATTGTTCAACCATTTCTTTTTTCACTGGGAAAAGTAAGATGCTACATAGCAACATACTTTATACTTGGTCTAAATTGAGGTCTAGCACGCCCAGAAATTTCCCTGAGCTTTATCATGATTCCTGGAGGCAGCCTGATCCGGGGAAGATCAAAGTAGTTCCCAACAGGAGGCACGAGGACGTCAGAGGGGTAGGTGAATTCTCTGTCTTCTTCTATGGTCAGAGGCAGTGGAGAGGGACTCGGAGTAAGGGCAGGGGAGATCACACCATTGGCCTCCACCTGCCACTGGCACCTGAGCAGACAGAAAAGAGGCTCTTCACTTCCTCTCTCAACAACATTACTGGAAAGCTACTTGAAATTTGCAGATACATCAAACATGAAGGATCACATTCTGTGTTAAGTATTTATTCATCAAACCTTCTCCAGAAGCTAAAGAAAAATGGGCATTATATGAAAGCATACCTTTGGGAATCTACGTCCTCTCCAACATTTAATTGTAAAAACTTTAAAGCATACAGAAAAGTGGAAAGAATTACATGGTTAATATCCATATACCCGCAGTCTGGATTCTACCATAAATGCTTCGCTATGTTTGTTTTCTTATACATCTACCCATCCTTTGGGGGATCATTCAATTTAATCATATAATAACTGGGCTGGAGAAAAGCTCATGCAGTTCAAGGATGTAATCTGAAATTTAGTAAAAGGCCAGAAAGCACTATGGTATAATTTTTATCTTATTTCTTAGACACAATGACACACTGGAGACTGTCAGGCAGTAGGCACAATCAGCTGGGAAATGTACTAAAGTCGTTTTCCACATTGTTCTTTTTCCTTTGCGGGCAATACTAGCTCAGGTTGAACCTTTCTGTTACCTTTGTAAGAGTTTGGACCGCAAGAGCTCCTGACAGGCTTCTTCTTCTTTGGTAATTTCTGGTCCATTGTACAGGATTCTTAACATGGAACAAGCTAACACAGACAGACCTAAAGCCAGGTCTACCAGAAAGGGCAGGCCTCCTGAGACATCCTCCGAAGACTCCTACAATGCAGACAGGGGTAAACCACACTGGTCAGTGGACACTGGCAGGGTGCTTCCTCTGCGCTGCGCCACACTGCACTGGCCCCAACCACAGGGTTTCACAGAGCAGTGACAGAGCAGTGTCAAGCATCACTGCTATGGGACACAGACGCAGCACCCAACATCATGACTAGATGGTGGCACTGGAATGGCCACAGAGTGAAGTCTCAACACAATTCTGGGGAGAAAACAGCTGACAAGACTCTGTATTAGAAATGGCACAAATCACATGTAAAAAGCCCAGATTCTTCCGATAGCTTCCTCTCTGCTGTGCCTATCTAAGTATAAATCATGGCTTTGTTGCATCACCTCCAGCCTGTGCTCAAACCATGACTGCACCGAATTCATCCAATAAATATTTATTGAGTGCCTTCTGTGTACCAGGAGATGTTCTCCATGCCTGGGATACAGCAGAGAACAGAACACAGATCCCTGCTCTCATGGAGCTTACATTCTAGCAGATAATTCCACTCCGGAGAGTCTTAGCTTGGTTAAACTTAAGCAGCCTCCAAGTCTAAAATATGTTTTTAAAATCAGGCAACTAGAGGGGTTAGTAGAACTCTTACAACTCTTAAAACCCGGAATCCAAGTGCTTACTTCTACTAAGCGTTCGAGTCTTCTTTGCCCTATGGAAAGATGCTGGAGTCTACTCAGTTCCCAGGCTTTCGAGATGGACCCCTAACAATGGATTATTTCTGTGCTGCCGAGTCGATTTTAGGTCACGGCTAGTTTTATTCTGTAAAACTACTACTAACTGTTAGTAATTTACTACTGTCAAATGGAAGAGATGGATGAACCAGTGGCTTATATTTTGCTCTGTTTCCAAGGCAAATATGATATATGTAACCAAGGCACGTAGGAGAAAGTACATTATTTTGCCCACAGCAGTGGTTAGATTCATGTACCTGAGCGCGAACTGTGCAAGCAAAGCCCCACATAGCTTTATCAGGAGTGTTGTGTTCACGGCCACTTCTCATTTCAAAGGAGAAGGTGACTGTATCTCCTTCCACCTTAAAATTTAAGGGAGGGAAAATGCACTTTAAAAACAAAACATACAATTTACAAGAGAGCAATAAATTTCAGAGACTTATTTTCAAAAGGACCACAGCAATATTTCACTCCTTTTCTCACTGGCTTTTTTTTTTTTTTTTTTTT